GGGGGCAAGTGGAGGGTCAGCTGAGCAGAGAGGGAGAGAAGTCTTCCAAGATCCCCAGGGGATGGAAGGATTGGGGGAGTGGTTCCAGGATCCCCCCCCCCTCCAGGGAAAGGAATACAAAAGAAGGGCTGAGGAGGGCTGGTGGAGCGCCCTTGATCTTAAGGGGCAGAGTTTTAGGTGGTGTGAGGGGAAGTTAGGAACTCCTGTCACTCAGCATCAGGGCGTGTCTGTCTCCGCGAGGGATTCGGCCGCCCCCTCCCCTTTAGTCACTGTCTTTGGTATACACAAGAGTCCAGCCTGGGGGTGCTGGGGGTGTGGAGGGACCAATGAGAGGCTGATCCGCTTAGAAGGGTGCAGGAAGAGAGCCGGCTGGGGCTACACCCCCGTTCCCCCCTTCCCCCGCCAGAACTTGGGCTTGTCCTGTTTGACGTGCCCGCCCAAGGGGGTGGAGGGGGTACTGACCGGAGCAGCGGTCCCGCGACTCTGGACTCCCAGCATCCCAGGCCTGGCCGGGAAGCTGCTGGGCTCAGCGGGGACGCCCCTGGAGACCAATATGGAGGTAGGAGCTGTTTAAGGCCCCAGAGAAGCCAAGTGTCTCAAAGGAATCCTACGGGGGTGGAGATAGGGTGCAGCCTGGAGTTCCACCCCGGGGGTCCGACCAGATGGGACCGCAGTTCTTGGAAAGAGAAGGAGAGGGGTTCGTCCTAGACTTCGGTGGGGGGTCTGGCTGCGGGCTGCGCCCACTCCGCTCTGGCTAGCGCAGCGCCTCCTGCTGGCAGCGTGGGCCCCCAAGCTGCGCAACAGACTGGACCCCCCGGCGGGTGCCGCCACCTGGAGGGCGTGTGCGGCCACCGGGCGAGTGAGCCTAGGGGGCGCTGCAGGCAGCCGGGGAGGAGCCGCCTCGCCTCGCCCCGCGCCTTTGCGGGCTGATTCCCGAAGGGCCACAACCCGGCAGATAAGGGAGATCGAGAGACTCCCGGGCGCGCTGGAGACACAGGGTCAGGAACGGGTGGCAGCACGTGGCTTCCCCGGAACCCGGAGGGGGCGCCTTGCTGCGGGGGCCAGCGAGCCGCACTCGGGCATTCCTCCCTGCGCTCCTTTCCCCTGCTGAGGTCGGGGTGGAGCGCGGGCGTTTGGCTTCCTCGAGCGCTCGGAGCCGGGGTCTGGAGGGACCAGAATCTTCCGCCCAGACCTCCGTAATCCGGGCGAACCCGGAGCGACTCCCGCACTTCTGCCTGCGGCGGCAGGAGCTCCAGAGCCCCTACCTTTTCGGGGCGGGGGGCGGCTTGAGGAGGAAGGGGGAGGCAGAGAACGGAGGAGAGATGGGGGGGTGGAAGAACAGTGAGAGGCACGAAGATAAACGGAGAACGCGGGCCGCGGAGAGGAAGAAGAGATGTGTATGGAGAGAGCAGGACTGAAAGGCGACGGGAGAGGGAGAGTGACAGAGGCGGCGAGGAGGGGAGGGAGAAGGAGGGAAGGAGTGGGGGGGAGGGGGGAGGGAAGCCAGAGAGAGGGACGAGAGCCGGCGGCGAGCCAGGAGGGCGTGGGGCGAGGCCAGGCGTGCAGGCGGGAGCCAGTGTGCAGAGCGGCGGCCGGGTCCTGCTCCCGCCTCGGAGCCCCTGGCCCGGGGGAGGGGGAAAGGCCGCTAGCTCGGTCTATGTCTTTTTCTGACTCCAGTGCTACCTTCCTGCTGAATGAGGTAAACGCGGGGCCCCCTCCCCAGTGGGTGGGAGGAGAACCCCACTCCAAGCTAGGAAGACGGCCTTCATTTGGGGGAGACTGCAGTGATGGGGAGGGAGGAAGATCGAGGAGGTGAGGCTAAGGGTGGAAGAGGCGTGCAAGAAAGGAGGGAGCAACCAGAGCTGGGATTGGGACGGGAGGGGCAGACTGCCTGGGAAGCCAGAAAAGGGGCTAGACGAGAGGATGGAGATAAGAGGGATCCACCGAGCTCCCCTGGTGCCCCTCTCCAGGCTCCCTGAGGGCAGTCTAGCAGCTAGAATGCTAGGGTTTGGCTTGGTCTGGATCTTAAAGACTGCTGGGGAGAAGGACTTCCCAGAGGTACTAGCTCCTGACTCAGTTTCCCCACTCAATGCAGAGGGATTAGGATCTGTCCAGCTTCCTGGTACACTTACAGAAGAAGCTAGAATGTCTTCTGGAGGCTCTCAAGAACTCCAGCTCCCAAACCTGGCTGGTTATCCAGGCTTCCCTGCCTGCCTGCCCCCCAGCCCCCAATGTCCTGCATCCATGCCTTGGCTACCAGCCAGCTGCCAAGCTAACAGCTCTCTCCTAGAACGAAGAGAGCAGGAATCCTCTCCTCGAATCCTTTTTGTGCCATCTCCCTCGCCCCTTATGCTCAGCCACAGAAAAGAAAAGAGGTTAGGGCCCCATGGATGCTGACAGGCACATGTCTTGTTTCATGATAGGAAGCTGGCATGGCATGAGAACAGGAGCAGGCAGGTGTGGGTGAGGTGAGAAATGGAAGGGGGCATCGAGTAGCAACTCAGAGATAAGGAAAGAGAGCAGCTCTGAAGCTCCTACAAGACCCAAGGGATGGGCCCAGGTATGAAAAACTTGTATCCTCCCAGGGCGGTTGGCATGGCAACTCGTGCCTCAGAAACCGACTTAGACACCACTGTCCCAGATGGGGATGAAGACAAGGTGTGTGAGGAAGGAGTGAAGCTGATGGCAGATCTGCTGTGTTACCATAACCCCCCGGGACTCCCTGGTGATGGAAAGAGTCCCGAAAGGAGAGACCAGGAGAGAGTAGATTCAAGGGACAGGAAGGGAAGCAGATGTCTCAGCAGCTGTCTTCATTGGAATCATCTTCCAGTAGAGAGAGCGCCTGGAAGGCCCTATCCTTTCATGCCTCCTTTCTGCCCTTCTGGAAAAACAGAAGGAACTGAAGAGGCAGAGAATAAAAGAGGAAGATCTGAGGAATTCTAAGGAACTGGAAGAGGGCACGAAAGTGAAAAGAACAGTGTCTGGGAACCGGCACTGCCAAAGAATCCAATGTATAACCACCCCCAAAGGGTGCTGGACTCTGCAGAGGGAACTGAGACAGCCGGGTTCTCCCCCCGGCCGCCCCCCATCAGTTCTTGCCAGGCCGTAGGGCTCCAACAAAGTTGTCTGCCAAATCCAGCGGGAGAAGAAGCTAAGCAGAGCTGGGCTGCACCACTCACAGGGGTAGACAGACTAAAGGCAGACTAAAGATAGTCTTAAGATGAGGCCCCTTCTCTCCTTTCTTGGCAATGGAACATGAACAGGGGACATAAATGGGGCAGCCAATTGGGTTGGGTGGTCTTCCTCTCCCCTGAGCACAGTGCTTCCCCCTAGACCTCATCAGACCCTGTCAGTTTCCAACTTCTGTCTCCCCTATAGCTCAGGACGTTAAAGCAAGGAGCAGATTCCCAATTCACCCTTCTGGGTGTGAGAAACTGGGACTGGAGAAGGACTGAGCTCAAAGGGCTCCAAGTGTAACCCCCTTTCTATCTCACATCCCCAGAGGGGAGTGGTTGTGGTCTGGAAGGGCGGCAGGTAGGTAACCCAAATTCAAAGGAACAGTGTTGCTCAGGAGGTGGAAGAAAGGAGGAAGCTCAAATGGGTGGATCTTTGGGGAAGTTTACTCAAGATGAGGGCCGCGGCTCTGTCTCTCACCTCACAGCTTGGTGCTCCTGGGAAGGAGACTGGTACAGAGTGGCACTGGCTCCAACCCGGATACCGGCGACCCCAGCTCCATCCTTTCTCTAAGGACTTACACTAGTGATTCCGTCGTCTTGCCCTCCCCGGCGTCCTGACCCCATGTGGCCAGGATCCCCCCTTCTGTCCCAGCCCTGACAGTCCCCCTACCTCCACCCTCCGGTTTCTTTCCTCCTCCCCTTAGGCTCACCTAAAACAGCCCCTCCCTCCCCCAGTTCCCACGGATGCCTTGGCACCGCCTGGCTCAGTCCTTGCCAAGGAAGTGAGGAAGGGAACCCCCATCCTGGCCATACTAGGATGGAATCCGCTCGCGCAACAGGTGTGGAGCGGCCGGACCCAAAACCAATCCCTTTGCCCCGGTTGGGCGACAAGGCCCTTTGCTGCAGGATCCCAGCCCTGAGGGGGGCAAGCACCTGTTGGGGTAGGGGCTACTTTCACGGCATTGGCCAGGGGTCGCCAAACCCACTCCTCCCCGGGACCACTGCGGGGGTTTGCTTTCCGAGTGTCTGGACCGCGGGGGCCCAGACCCGCCGCCCTCTCACCTGGGGCCCCTCCCCCATTGGCCGCCCGTCCCCCGCCCCCGTCCCGGCTCTCGGATCTCCCCCCATCTCCCCAGTTTCCTGTCTCCCCCCGCCTTTCTCCCTCTGCCTCGACCCCTCCTTTCTCTGCCTCCTGCCTCCCCGCAATCGGCGCCCTCCGCTTTCTCGGCTCGGGTACCATCTCCGCGCCCCCTCCCCTCCCCCGCTCCAGCCCTTTGTTTCCCGGCGGAGTATTTCCTGGGTTGCTGAGCGTCTCTGTCTCCGCATCTCTCCTCGCCCCGCCTCCTCTGAGCCCGGATCCGCCCCACCCGCAGTCTCTCCTCCCCTTCCTCCCCGCCGCCCCTGTGCCCCATAGGTGCTTGGGGACCCACCTTCTCCCCGGCTGCGGCCGGCCACCCTCTCCCGGCCCGGTCTCGGGCTCCCCGGGTGGTCGGCGCCCCCCGCCGCCGCCCTCGCCAGCTGCCGGGGAGGGGGTCAGGTGGGCGGGCACTATTGTTGTAGGAGCCGGCGCCAGATTCCTCAGCCGCGCTCGGGGTGGGACCGGCAGGGTTTGGGGGGGTGGGGTGGGGGGAGCGTTGATTTGAGCTCCGAGCAGCTGGTCTTCGCGGCTCGCTCTCTCCTTCGCGCTCTCTCGCTCTCCGCCGCCGCCCGCAGGGCTGCGGGGCTCGGCGGCATCTCTCGGGCGCGGCCCGCTGTCCTCGCCCCTGCCTCCGGGCTGCCCCCGCCCCCGGCGCCGCGCGCTTCCCCCCCCACCCGGACTCCCCCATGTATGACGACTCCTACGTGCCCGGGTTTGAGGACTCGGAGGCGGTGAGTGCCCACGGTTAGGGTGGGGGTGGGGAAGTTGGGGTGACTCGTCTTCTCCCTTGCACCCTTCCCCAATTCAGGACTTTGACAAATGCCTCAGTGGAGGGCAGGGCGTGCAGGGCTTGGGGGGCGCTCCTGGAAAGTGGGGACATGGGTTTTCGTGCCCAGGGCTTCGCAGGACCCCAATTCTAGACCAAGGGGCATATAGGGTGTGTGCGAGGTGGGGGTAGTGGGGGAAAGGCTCAAGCAGGTGTCCAGAGCCCAGGACTGCAGGGTAGAGGGAGGAAGGGCTGGAGGCTGAGGGCACAGAGGCTGTAGAGAGGGCACACGCAGTGTCTCGAGTTCCCAAAGGAGGATTGAGGGGGGGTCGGAACACAGCAGCTACAGGAGAAGCTGGGGCTTTCTGGGGGAAGGACCATTCAGACCTCCTATGCTTCAAGGGAAGGACAAATTTAGAGAGCCTAGGAGAACATCCGAGAGTCAGGTCCCAGCCTCAGAAGGGTCATAAACTTGAGGACCTCCCTTATTCCCTTCTGCTCCCATCCCTGAGCATTGCCTTGTTTCCTCACCCCGTGTGGAGCCCAGCTTCTCTCCCAGGCTGGAAACTAGGCACCAGCACATGGGTGGGCCAGCTGACAGAGCCCCATCCATTCCACGCCTCCTGCTGAGGCCTCCTCAGAGCAGTGGGCTTCCTGAGCTCCTGCTCAGCATGGAGGGCCTGGGGGTGAGGCCAGAGGGGCTGAGGGCCTGGGGATGGAGAGGAAGCTCTTTGCTCAGAGAACTAGGCAACTGATAAATATTTAATTCTCCTCTTTGCTTTTATCTCCTGACCCACTGAGACAAATCAGCTCATTAGGCAGTGATTCCCGGAGCTCAGGGAGCAGAGAGAGTGCCTGGAAAGATGGGGCAAGGATGGGGAGCAGCTTCTTGGTCCCTTCCCTCAAAGCTCCTGCATGAAGGCCTCCTTTGGAGAGGACCCCTGGATGGCTTGGAAGAGGTCCCTGAGAGGGGTGGAGGGTCAAAAGAGCAGTGTTTGCGTTTTCTTCCATCTCTTGCTGCCAAGTCCAGGATACAGGAGTTCTAGGGTTCAGAGTAGACAGCTATCAGTCCTTTTCTGGGACTGGGCTCCTGCTGGGCCCAATTTCCCCACTGGGCCTCTGGGGCTAATTACATTGCAGCTAGAGCAGATGACTTGCAAGGCTCTGATGGACACCTCTTTCTGACAGTTGAAGGGACAGCTGGCATGGCCCAGGGTGCCAAGGTGAGCTTGCAGATGAACCTCTCCGAGGGGCTGGAGGGCCCTAGAAGGTTCCTTCCCAGCCCTGGTGAGATGGTAAGGGCTATTGCGAGGTAAAGACTGACATGTGACTGGTGTTGGGGCAGGCCTCTTGCCCCCTCGCTGGCTCGGCACCCCTTGCTGGTTCCCGGATCACCCTCCCCCCACTTCCCTTTCTCTTGCCTGGCTCCTTGCTCTCCCTGAGGCCCCCTTTGAAGCAGTAGGAGGGAGATCAGGCTCTAAATAAATCCACCGGCTCATCTCCCTCCTCTCCTTCCCCCGTGCCAGGCAAGAGTGGAGCGGCAGTCTGCCCACACACTCATCAGGCAAGGGGGGCAACACCAGGGCACTGTGCCAACTCCTGGCAGCTCCAGAAGTACTGAGCCTCTGGCTGTTTGGGCCTAACAGGGGGTAAGGGCAGCAAGACTTCTGAGCACACTCGGCAGGGCGGCCCCGGCCTCCCCGGTGGTACCCGCGCACGAAAGATGAGGGAGCTCTGAGGACTCGGGAATCATGGAGATGGGTTCCAGGCTGAGCACAACTCATTAAACATTCACGGGGTGATCCTGTCCTTCCCATCCTGAGGTGAGAGGCCAGGTGACCCAGATGGCCCAGGCAGGGACATTAAGATGATCAAATTAGGCCAAGAGACTGTGGGGCAGAGGGTAAAGGTCAGACTCCTCTTCTGGCATAAGCCTGCATCTGATGTATACTCATCCAAGTGAGCGGTCATCCTGCCTTGTCCCTTGCCTCCCTTCCCACTGGCCCCTGTTCACCTTAGTCAGCTGTCTCTTAGGGCTAAGACCCCCGCAAAGAGGTCCCCCCACTCCAGCTTCTTCCCCAGGGCTCAGCTGCTCTTTATCCTGCTGTCAAGCCAGCCTTATTTTGTTCTCGAGAGATGGGGAAGAGCAGGCCAACTCTAGTCCTCCGTAAAATGAAAGCTTTTTCTCCATTGTGCTAGCTTCATGCCTTCCATCTACCACAGACGTTGTCTTTAGCTGAGGCTCAGGGCCCTGGGCCGATAGCAAGCTGATCACTTCTTGCCGTTGGTGGGGCTGGGGCGGAGGGCATGGCGATATGTGTGTTTGTCTCCTCCGCTGAGAGTCTGGCTTCCGCGGCCTTCTGGAAGTGGTCATGCACGGTGGTCTTGAAGGAATGTTCCCCAGTCGGAGTACATTCTAAAATCCCTCCCCACCCCACCCCACACACATTGCCACATGGACCCCTTATCTAGGGCCCTATCTTCTCTCTGCCACCTGCACCTCAGAAATGATGGAAGTACCACGTCAGGCTTCTGATCATAAAGAGGTAGAAAACAACAGGTAGAAAGAGGTAGAAACCAAAACTTTGCCCTAGACTGGGGCAGGGAATCCCAGCCATCCTGACTTCTATCCTCCTGACCTGAGGTCCAGCTTCCCTTGCTCATTTGTGCATCTCCCTTGGGGCCTCCCTCATATTGAGCTCTGCAACACTCCAGATGTACCCTTTGCCCAAAGACCCTTCCTATGGGCAGGACTGAGGCTCTCCTGGCTCAGGTGACCAGAGACCCTGTTCTGACATCCCCAGGGTCCTCGGCTGGGTTGCTTAGCACTTACAGGTCCTTCCTCTAGGGCTGATATCCCCTTGGGGAAGGGCTGGGGAGATGTAGGCCAGATGGTAGGCGTGGCCGAGCCTCACTGGGGCCCAGGGAGACAGCTTTGTGTTTCCTTCTCAGTCTGTGTCTTGTTTGCTGCCCACACCTGGCCAGTTGCCCCAGCAGGTGTGAGAGGAAAGAAAGTGGGGGCAGGGAGAGTAGAGAGGAAGTGACTTCCAGGAGTTGGCGGCTCTGTGTCCTCCTCTTCACCCTGGAAGAGTGGGCACTGGGGGAGATGAGCTCTGAGGGGGTGGATGGCTCTATCCTGACACTCAGGACCAGTGCCATGCCAACCAGAGTCTCTCGACTGTTCCCGGCTGACTGTACCCATGCCACGCATTTTAAAGGGATAAGGTCCAGGCTGCTTTGCAGGCTGATGTGAGCAAGAAGGCTGGGTCCTTTAGATTCGGAATCATCTCCAATATATCATCTTCAGCACATCTCCCTTCACTCTGCCCCAGAGGCCAGGGTAGAGGGGAGGAAAGGGAGGAAAGAGGAAAGTGAAAGCTCTATTCAAGGCTGCAGTATTAATAGGCTTTGCCAGGAGGGGCCCAGATCTTAGCACATATGGATAGGGCTGGCTTTCCTGCAGCCCAGAGGCACTGGGCCCTTTTCAGGGAGATGGAAGGGACCATTGGGGCCCAGCCGCCGGTGTGGACGTGGACTGGCTAGGGTTAGTGGAGGCCCTGCTGTAGGGCTTAGAGGGTGCCTATAGTGCCCGTCACACCTGAGCCCAGGGGTCACAGCCTCTCCCCCATGCCAGGGTTCAGCCGATTCCTATACCAGCCGCCCATCTCTGGACTCAGACGTCTCCCTGGAGGAGGACCGGGAGAGTGCCCGGCGGGAAGTGGAGAGCCAGGCTCAGCAGCAGCTTGAAAGAGCCAAGGTATCAACTCGGGTGGGCGGCCAGGCCAGGCTGGGTGGAAACTTGGGCTTGGCCCTCAGTCCCCAGGGGTCAGTGAGCAGGATACTCATGCGTGTGCATGTGTGAGTGTCATGGGTGCTGTGTTGGGGCCTCCTTCCTGTACTGGTGGGGCACTGATGTTAGAAGGGGTGCTGTGAAGCCCCCCTCACTTGCACTGATGGCCCAATTCCCTAGCACAAACCTGTGGCGTTTGCTGTGAGGACCAATGTCAGCTACTGTGGCGTGCTGGACGAGGAGTGCCCAGTCCAGGGCTCTGGAGTCAACTTTGAGGCCAAAGATTTTCTGCACATTAAAGAGGTGACCAACTCCAATCCCAGAGAGAAGCCACCTAATTCCCCCGCTCTTGCCCTAGCTCCCATGCCTCTTACTTCAGTCTCAGTCCATAAACAAGTCCCCAGACTCTTCAGTTCTTACCCAGAACACACACCTATATGCCCTTCATATCTAAAACCCAATCCCCGGAGCCTCCATCCTTCTGAGACCTGGCTTGGGCCTCCATTTCTGAATGTGTAAAGCGAGCAGTTAGATGAGTTGCCTCTTAGGTCCCCTGTGACGTCAGGGATGCCTCCCACTGAAATCTTGGGTGGCTCAAACCTGGTTGCCCTTCCCTCTGGCACCTTCTCCTGCCCTACCTCCCTTCATGCTGCCTTCCTCAGACCAACTCTCTGAAAGCCTCCCTGGCTCCTTCACACTGAAGAGCCAGGACTGAGGCCTGGGTGCCTCCTCTCACCGCCCCTTCCCCCAGAAGTACAGCAATGACTGGTGGATCGGGAGGCTAGTGAAAGAGGGTGGGGACATCGCCTTCATCCCCAGCCCCCAGCGCCTGGAGAGCATCCGGCTCAAGCAGGAGCAGAAGGCCAGGTGAGAGCAGGGTTTGTGACTCTATGAACATAAACCCCTCGTATCCTGAAGCTGGCACACGTGCAGATATGCATGACACACATCCCTTCCTCACTAAGATGTAAGGAAATGTATACAACTATTAAGTAACATGTAGAACGTGCATACTAATTGGCCTCTCTGCTCTCAGGAGATCTGGGAACCCCTCCAGCCTGAGTGACATTGGCAACCGACGCTCCCCTCCTCCATCTCTAGGTAGCCTCCCCCTGACCCACTCATCTTGGGTAGGTGGGTGACTAAGACACAGGGGGGAGAGGGAGCAGTTCCCAGGAGAGCTGTGTGGGAAGGGGTTGGTGGAGGGACCAAAAGAGCTCAGAGAAACCGAGTGTCTCCCCTGGGGAAGGGAATACCATGCCCCCAGGGCCATTCCCCCTTCACCAACTTTAATCTTTTATTTCCTTTTCCAAAAAGCCAAGCAGAAGCAAAAGCAGGTGAGTCAAGGAAGGGACCTGGACTGGGGTGGTGGGGAGCTCATGGCTTATGGCTGTGGGGACAGGTTTTTGGGCAGTCGTTGGAAGGGCAGGAGAGCAGAGAAGGGAGGGAGCCCAGAACTTCCGAATCTGCCCTGCACCAGGGAGGCATAGGACAGGCGAGAGGGCCACGGCCCTGCTTGACCTCAGGTCAATTCTGCAGGCAGAACACGTTCCCCCGTATGACGTAGTGCCCTCCATGCGGCCTGTGGTGTTGGTGGGACCCTCTCTGAAAGGTTATGAGGTGAGAGAAGGTCCCTGTCGCCAAAGAGTTGCCTCTACCCAGCCTGCCACGGGAAGGTCTGAGGGATGGTGGGAGTGGGTGTTCTCTCTTCATCAGTTCTGCGTGTGGAGGGGGGCAGGCTCTAGGGCCATGCCTAGGGATGCTGCCTCTCTCTGAGAGGGCTCCCAGTCAGTCGCATGCCTTTCCCCTCCCCCTCCCACCCAGGTCACAGACATGATGCAGAAGGCTCTCTTCGACTTCCTCAAACATAGGTTTGATGGCAGGTGAGCTGCTCTGGCGTCAGGCGGCATCTCCTTCCAGGTGCCTGTAGCAAGGTCTCCTCTAAAGAGAAAGTTAGTGGGACCTGGGTAAGGAGAGGCCTGAGGCCTGAAATTTAGAGGGGGGCTGTGATTCTCCACCCCCCACCCCAGGATCTCCATCACCCGTGTCACAGCAGACCTCTCACTGGCAAAGCGGTCCGTGCTCAACAATCCGGGCAAGAGGACCATCATCGAGCGCTCCTCTGCCCGCTCCAGCATTGGTGAGAAGCCCCGGTCTCCTGCTTCTCAGCCCGCTCAAGTATTCCTGAGACCCTTCCTCCCACCTTTCTCTTCCTGGCACCTCGCAGTCCTGCGCAGCCTCTCTGCCTGCCCCAGGACTGACGAGAACCACCCCAGTCAGCCCGGTTCCCTGTTTCTCTTCCTGCCCGGGGCCTTGAGGAATACCCTGTCCCTCCCGTTCCTTCCCATCTACCATCCCGGAGACCCCGCGGCCCCGCTGGAGGAAAACGTAGGTGTGGCCCTAAGGTGAGCGTTTTGGCTTGCTTGCCCCCTCCACAGCGGAAGTCCAGAGCGAGATCGAGCGCATATTCGAGCTGGCCAAATCCCTGCAGCTGGTAGTGCTGGATGCCGACACCATCAACCACCCGGCGCAGCTGGCCAAGACCTCACTGGCCCCCATCATCGTCTTTGTCAAAGTGTCCTCCCCAAAGGTACGTCAGTGGTGGCTGCGGCGGAGGCCCACGGGGCTGCCCAGCTGTCATGCGGTGCTGCTCTACCTGGTCCCTGCCCGAGGGCTCCTGCATTCCCTTCCCCTGCTGCCCCCTCCTGATGGCCCTCACCTGCTTCCGATACCGTATCCCAAGTGGCGAGACAGGCCCCAGGACTGGGCCCAGCTCTGCCCATTCCAACCTTAGGTCCTCCAGCGCCTCATCCGCTCCCGGGGCAAGTCACAGATGAAGCATCTGACCGTACAGATGATGGCTTACGATAAGCTGGTCCAGTGCCCACCAGTGAGTGCCTGTGCCAGCGACTGCTGCGCCCACTCCTGCTTCTCCAGGGCCAGGGAAGTGCTGGAGATGGGTGGGGGGCTGCTACTGAGAGGAAGCCAAGCTCACTGCTTTCCCTCTCCTTCCCAGGAGTCATTTGATGTGATTCTAGATGAGAACCAGCTGGAGGACGCCTGTGAGCACCTGGCGGAGTACCTAGAGGTCTACTGGAGGGCCACCCACCACCCAGCTCCTGGCCCTGGGCTTCTGGGCCCTCCTAGTGCCATCCCCGGACTTCAGGTACCCATTTCCAGTGGGCACAGGTGTTCAGGCTAAGCCAGCCAAAGCACTGCCCCCTCCTGGCCCAGAGAACTGTCCTTGGCCTCCAGCTCGAGGGCCAAAGGATCAGAGAACTCAGCTCTGCTGTACAGAGCTGGAGCAGATGGGCAAAGGAACTTCCTGATGAGAGGGAAGAAATCAAGGAGATGGGTAATCTGAGGTTACTGTTCTGAGCTTGGAAGAAACATACTCCTTCTCTTAGTCTGTCTTGAAGGCAGAGCCTGAATTCTGCAGGAGTCCAAAGCTGGTTTTCCGTGTCTCAAGTGGAAGCTGCTTCTCCTTCCTTGGACCATTTCCTATATCCGGGAACTGAGGGTTGAGAGGGGGAGACTCCCCACTCCCACCCTGCTAGAGGTGGGGGGCGCCTAGGTGAGGTCGACCCCATCTACTTAGAGCTGTTGTGTTGCCCCCAGAACCAGCAGCTGCTGGGGGAGCGCGGCGAGGAGCACTCCCCCCTGGAGAGGGACAGCTTGATGCCTTCAGATGAGGCCAGCGAGAGCTCCCGCCAAGCCTGGACAGGCTCTTCACAGCGCAGCTCCCGCCACCTGGAGGAGGACTATGCCGACGCCTACCAGGACCTGTACCAGCCGCACCGCCAACACACCTCGGGGCTGCCTAGTGCTAACGGGCATGACCCCCAAGACCGACTCCTCGCCCAGGACTCGGAGCACAACCACAATGACCGGAACTGGCAGCGCAACCGGCCCTGGCCCAAGGATAGCTACTGACCACCTCCCGCTGCCCTCCCCTGGTGGGCGCAGGCACAACTGACTGGGGGGCCCACTCCAGGCAGGTTGGAGGTAGACTGGCAGTAGGCTGGCACTAGGTTCAGCCCCCACAACCCCCTGCCCAGCCCCAGCTCCAGGGCTGCCTGTGGTCCCAAGGTTCTGGGAGAAGCAGGGAGCCCCCTTACCTCCTGGGCACAGTGACCCCCCCTAGGCTCCCATTCCAGGTACTAGCTGTGTGTGCTGCACCCCTGGCACCTTCCTCTCCTGCACAAAAAGCTGCCCCACTGGGCAGTGCCCTCAGGCCAGGATCCCCTTCACAGGGGCCTTCCCACCAGACTCAGGGAAGGGATGCCCCCTCCAAGGGACAAGAGGGTGGGGGTGTGGACAGCATGGCATGCGGCAGAAACAAGGTCCCTGAGCGGGCACGAGTCCTAATGGTCAAGGGACTCAGGGGTTGTGCTTTGGGGTTCGAGGTCCTCCACTCACCTCACTACCACACATTAGAAACGAGACAATCAGAGCCCAACAAGGTGACACTCCTGTCCGTCGTCAGCTGGAGTGGGGCACCCACACACGAGGCTGGAGCAGCAGGCAGGCGAGGCTGGGGCCAGTAGCTCCCCAGCAGATCTCTTCACCTGCCAGGAAAGCTTCTTGACATCTGCCAGCACCAGAGACCGGAGCATGGTCAAGCCCAGCGGGTGGCGGGCAGGAGCCAAGCTGGGTTGAGGTTTTGGGAAGGGAGGGCGTGTATAGCGGAGGACGTATGGAACAGCTTCGGGGGCCTCCATGTCCCCCTCATTCTTTTGCTCTTGCATCCTGTCCTTTCTGTTCTTGGCCCTCATGCCTCCTGGGGAATATGGGCCCAACTTTATTTGCTGATTCATAGCTGCTGCTTGTTAAGTTAGGGTTAGGTGGGGAGAGAGGGACACAGTGGACAGCCCCCAGAGGCCCTGTCTAACCAACTACCCTTGCCTTATGGCTCTAGTGTGTGACCTACAGAGCATGTTCCACAAGATCCCCACCTCACTGTCATCACTAATAAACACCATGCACAGACTGGTGGGCTCCTGTTCCGTGTCTGCTGGCTCACATGGCCGGGTTCATCGGAGGAGATAAGTCTCCTGGGCCTTTTCTCTCACAAAGGAGCCACTGAGTGGGAAGGGAACAAGGCCGGAGCTGGCAGGGAACCCGGTGCTCCCAGGCAACCCCCCAGCTCCCAGGTACTGGAAGGAAAGCACTTGGCAGCACAGAAGGGACCTGTCCAGGGAAGTGGGGAAGAGGCTTAGTCATAGCCTTACAATGTCCCTGCCTCGGGTCCAAAAGGCCCAAGAGTCATAATTTGAACTCCACATACTTGCCCAGCTCTGCAGTCCTCTCCCCCGGACTCTGTCATGCCCCAGGTCCCCCATTTCCACCCCTCCTGTGAGCAGTGGGCTGGGCCACAAGGGAGCCATGAGCAAAGGTACTGTGAAGACTGGGTGTCAGAGGCACTATGACAGGTGACAACTGTCCCTCACATGCCCAAGTTTCATGGCTGCTCCCCATGCCCACCCTTGCGCAACGCTCCCCAGGGGATGCCCGGGTAGTCAGAGCTACGTGTGAAGTGAGGCCAGAGCCGGCAGGGGAGCCGTGTTCTGATCCTGCTGTGTTTCTTGTCTCCCCTCAAGTGGCCTCCCGTCAATTCAGACTATGAGCTGAGGCCCTGGGCTCTTCTCCGGATGCAATTTTCTCTCATCTCCAAGTCAACCCAGTGAGCCCAAGGCCATCCTGCCATCTTCTGTGGCAGCAGGGAGAACCCAGGAGACGGAGTGTGGCCAGAATGTGACATAGCCTTCGTCTTCATGTATTTATTCTCAGAACATACAAACTCATCTTCTCAGAGAATAAAAAACAGAAATTTCACTCAGTGACTTCGAGATGGGCACAGTCGGCTCACCCTGTCCCCACGTCTACTAAAAAAATTCCCTGGGAGAGGGGTGTCTAGAGCACCCAGCACCCCTTGGCACAGGGGCCGTGCACAGCTCGAAACAAGGCTCTCAACTGGTTTTATAATCCAAAAGGACAAATGGCTGCCAAAGTGACAGAGTCCAAGGTCCCTCACCCTCACCATGCCAGGCCCCCCGCGGTCAGCTCGGGCAGCGACCCAGATGCCCCTTCCGCAGTCAGGTCTGTGCCAAAGAGGTGAGGCCAGGCAGCCAGGCTTTCGTTCAGTTTGTGAGGCAACACCAACCAGCCGCCCCCACGACGGCAAGAGCTGAAGGCCCAGTGCAATCCTGAAGGCCTCTGGAGGGGCAGAGCTGGGCCAGAACCCGGGGTACTTTGTTCTCCCCGCCCCTGCAGCAGGCTCCTCTCCCACTGCAGCCCCACACTCAGGCCTGCAGACCAGAGGTAGCGGCCAAGGAGTCTGATTGTTCCCTAAGGCCCCGTGAGAGTGAGGACCTGGAAAGAAAGATTCGAGGGTCCTGAGGAACAGGCTCCAGAACATGCCCTGAAACTGACGGGAAGTGCGCTGTGTCAGGCAAAGATGGTCTCTTCCCGACGCTTCTTGGTGAGGATGGTGCCTGGCTTGTGCTGGGCATCTGGGTGGTTGGCTAGTTCTGGGGGGCAGGAGGACACCGGGCTCTCCAAGATGGCTTGCTTCAGCTCATAGAACACAGCGGAGTCCTCTTTGGTGAGGAAGGTGATGGCCACACCACTCTTGCCAGCTCGTCCCGTGCGGCCAATGCGGTGGATGTAATCTGGAGAGGGGGAAGAATGCCACTGAGGATACCAGGCCTCACTTCGACAGCCATCACCCACCCCAGCCCACCTCTGAGGGCAGTCGATACCGCTCGAGCCACCTGACCCTGCAGCAGCCACCGTGCTCTCCCCACCACAACGGATGGTGATCATCCTGCCACACCCAGCCTGAGAGCAGCCCCCCGCCATGCTTCCCCACAGCCCGGGACTCTGTCCCTCATACAGAGACAACACACCCACGGGAGACAGTAGCAGAGCTCGACTCAGTGGGACAAGCAATCCCAGACTCAGCTGTGAGGAATGAGCACCCAACAAGTAGCCGCCCTTTACCTGAATGGAAGCTGCCTTCCCCTGCACGTACCTTCAATGTTTTTGGCCATATCATAGTTGACAACCATAGACACATCTTGGATGTCAATACCACGACCCGCCACGTCTGTAGCCACCAAAATGTCCTTGGCCCCAGCCTTGAGGTTGGACAGTGCAAACTCTCGCTGCTCCTGGCCTTTCCCACCGTGTAGCGTGCACGCATTGTACTGTTGGGAGAATGGTGAGGTGAGGAAGAGCAGCAGGGTCATGGGAAGACAAAGAAGTTACAGGGGTAAAACTTCTTTGTAGACACCGAAGGAGGGCTGCAGAGCAGCACGGTAGAAGGGGAAGGAAAAAGGAGAGAGGATGAGTGCAACTGGAAGCAAGGACAGGCAAGCTGGAGAAGGGAAGGGAGAGAACAGGGTGTGGTGTGACCGGGGCAGACAAAGGTCAAAGGTAAAGCAGCTGCGGGGCACGACAAGTGGAGCCAGAGAGAAGGGAAGTCATCAAAGAGAGAATGAGGCTGAGATGAGGGTGGCAAGCAGGGACCAAGACACCTAAGGAAGTCCAAGTGTTGAGTGGAGAGGACACACCCTCCCCTTCAAACACCAAAAGCAGGACTAAAGGACACCGGTCACCCCCATCTCCCTCCTGATCACACCACCCCCTTTCCCAAACATGTATCAACACAAAGAACTCTGATCCACCATTCCACAGCCTCAGATCTGGCCAGGATGTGCGTCTCAGAACCTATCCCTGGCTCAGCCCCCTTGGAGGAAGACCCAAGGCAGCTCTGGCTGGCACTGCTGATCTGGACAGGCAATCACAACAAGAGACCCAATCCCTCATCCCCATCAAGCAGCCTCTTCCCTCAGGCCCTGACTTGTATATTAAAGAGGTTAATAATGGGATAGAACTGAAGGGGCCCTCTATTTTGAGAAAGCCCACTCGGTTGTCCCCTGCCAGACACACCCCCATCTTCTCCAGGGATTTCGCCAAAACATCACAGCCCTTCTTCTGGTTGACAAAAATGATAATGGGTGGATCAAAGCCCTGTTCCAAGATTGCGAGCAGCTTTTTCCTGGAGAAAAGAGGAAGAGGAGAAAAATGAGAAGCATACTTCCGTGAGATGGTCACCGTGGTCTACCAGGACCAACCCCATAACCTTTAAGCCCATGGCACCCCCAACAAGAAAACAGCAGCTCTTTAACACAGCAGAACATTCATCCTCCAACCCTCATACTGAAAAAAGCCCCTTCTTCATCATGTTCTTGCTGGTTCAGCTGCCCCCGTACCTCTTTTCTGACTCTGACATGAGGAAGACCTTCTGTTCCACACGTTCGTGGGGCTTGCCCGCAGAGCCAATGTATACCACAGCCGGTCGCCGAAGATAGCTCCGGGCCAGACGCTCCACCGCCGGGGGCATGGTGGCCGTGAACATGACTGTCTACGGAAACAGGAAGCTCAGCCCTGGGCCTGGGCAGACACTGCCACGTCTCCCCCATTGCCACAGGCAGCGGAGCCTGGGCTAATGAACCTACAGCGAGCCACGGAGTAAGCTCTGACAAGTACCACCAGAAGAGATCGTGTCCTTTGCCTTCCCCCTTCTTCCCTCAGTACCTGTTCACCAAGCTCCTTTACATCCTACAATGGCAGGAAGGGCTGAGAGCATTTGCTGGCACCCCTGGTAGGGACCAGCATGAGGCCTTGGAATCATTTTCTAGGGCACAGCCAATGGCTCCACTGCTAGGACTTCCAGAGGGCTGGCATGCTGGCAACTGTACTCTGGGCCCACCTGGGGCACGAAAGGCCTCAGAGCAGGTTTGGCACTGTGCCCTGATTTCCCGGCTAGGGAAGCAGCCTTACTTGGCGGTACTTGTGTTTTCCTGACTCGAAGTTGGCCAACATCTTCTCTGGGTCCTCAGCCTCATCTGTGTCCGGCTTCTGGTTGCTGACAGGCATGTGCTCCAGGATCTTCTGGACGTCTGGCTCAAAGCCCATGTCAATCATCCGGTCGGCCTCGTCCAGAACCACATAAGTACAGCGGCTCAGCACAAGGTAACGGTTCTCCAGCACGTCAATCAGACGTCCCGGGGTAGCAATCACAATCTGGAGGGCACAGTGGAGACATATGCAACCGCAGCATGTACCTCTTTCTTCTCCGTCCTGTGAACCATCCCCCGCTTGGACAACAGATCTCCCATGCTAAGGAACTTGGACCCTGACCTCCAGTTAGGATTGGCAACAAAGGTTCCTAAGAACTGGCACAAAATCACTTGTTGCCACCTTGGATTTTTTTAAGGAATGAATAGGGTCCCTGAGTAAGTTCCAGGAGTTAGACAGAAGAGGCAGAATCAGAAGGAACTTTCTTAGACAAAGAAGAACTAAAGACAACTATGGAGAGGATTACATAAAGGGATTATGGCAAGAAGTCTGTGAAAGACTCAATTCCTGCATCAGAGTTCTTGTAAAAAGCTCTCTTCCCCCACCCTGAGAAGACATGGTCTATGGCAGAGTAAGAGCACAGATATGAGCTTCAGATACGAACCTCAGCTCTTCTCATTGCCAGCTGTGACTCTGGGCAAGTTACTGACCTGAGCCCCAGCTTCCCCTGCACAATGGAGGTACTCTACCTATCATACATACAAGCCAATGCTTTTCTTCAGTTTACTGTACATCTGTGGCAGAAACTAGACACACAGCCCCCAAACGAAGAGCCCTCCCACAGCGGGCTGGCTGCGGCTAGGTGAACAAACCTCACAGCCCATGCGCAGCCTGAAGCCCTGGTCTTCTCTGGAGATGCCGCCAATGACGGCCACAGTGCGGATGCCCAGTGGCTTCCCAAACTTGATGGTCTCTTCCTCAATCTGCTGAGCCAACTCACGAGTAGGGGCCAGAATGATGGCGTAAGGGCCCTGGTCTGACTCTTCGATCCTGTGGTAAATGGGGCATCCCACAGTTCCGTGAGCTTTGGTTCTCATCCAACCACAAACAGGAGCAAGACAAA